CAACAGCTGGGGCGGTGCAACCGCCAAAAACGCCTGCAGGTCGCGCGAAAGCGCGGCAAAGGGAAATAGCCCGTGAGCCTTCGTCCAACCTTCGTCGATCGCTGTCCACCTAAAGTTTACGCGACGTCGATTTCTTTTGTTGATTCCGACGAGTTCCGACGTCGATGGAACTCCCTAGCACCTACACATCAGAGTCGCCGGCACCTACACATCAAAAGCCCACAATTCCAGCTTTGATTGGCCGTCGATCGTCGCTACCGCCACCACTCCCCAGAATCTCGTGCATATGGGTGTTTTTAGATAGATTTCAAACCTTAAGGGAGTATTTAAGTGGTGTTTTTGATGAATTTCAAACCTTTAGAGACTAAATTTTTTTTACAAATTACGTCCCAACGACCAATCCAACAGTCGAATCAGAAACAGACCCTTGAATGGGTCATTGTCCGATCCGGTTTTCAGAACATTGTTTATTCTATCCCTTATTTCATTCTCTCAACTCGAAATTTAAAGCACTTCTTCACGTCTCATTTTTTTTTTTTTTTTTTTTTTTGCCCTTTTTTCCCACTGTCACTTCCTGCTTCAGATTAAGCCAATCCAGAATTGATGGCTGAAATTCATCATAACTGGAGTAGTGGCATTACTGCTCACTGAGCTGCAATTGAGTCATTGCTCACTTTTGAATTTATATTTCTAAATCTTCACAACAATATAGTGATGAATACTAGAAAGAATATTATTCAAATGAAATTAAAACTTTTTTTTATTTAGATCTCCCGCTCATATTTCTTCTACATCAAATGTTATATCTACTCCATCATGACATAAGATTTGTGAGAAAGACATATGTTGGTGCCTATATTTTTTTTTCTTTTGGATTCTTTTACCCTTTTTAGTAATTTTATGATTATCTAAAGATAAATTTGTAATATAACTATTTTAAATTGAGGACTTATTAGATAATTGTTGGGGTTTCAATAATATCACTCATTAAATAATGATAATTGTTGGCTGTCAACAATATGTGAATACTTTAGAGGGCTATTATAAATTGGGAGGACATTATAAAATAAATAAAGAGAAAAAGACATAAGTTTTCATTTATATCATAAACAATTATTTTCTGTCATAAAAAAAAATACTTTTTTTACACTTTTTATGAATAAACATACTTTTAAAAGAAAATGTCCTTAATTGATAAATGTGTCCATTTATTGTGAAATTTAATAGTCATTTTTCCTTAATTTTTTTAAAAGTGCCTGTCATTTTATAATACACTACTTTAAAGCAATAAATGGTTTAATGTGTGAAAGACCTAATTAAGTCACTTGTAATATATCATCTAGCAGCCATTACAACGAAAAGTATCAAGTAGTTCTTTTCAAGGCTGTCACAACAAGTCGACCAGTTCGCAAGCCGGCTCGGCTCGACTCGTTTAGGGTTTAACTCGATGATGTCAACGTCGACTCGACTCGAACTTGATTTATAGCTGTGTTTGAGTTCGATCATAGGGGCTCGGTTCATAGGCTCGCGAGCCGACAGTGGCTTGCATAAGTAGGGTGTTTTTGTGAGTTTATTAAACCATGTGCGATTTAACGTTATATTGCAGTTCTAAATATATATATAAAAAAAAAAAAAAAAAAAAAAAACGAATTTACCCCCAAGTGCAAAATAGTAAAATGACATTTACCCCCAAATCAATTTCTCCCAATTCGCAAAAGTCTCACACAACAAACCCTAAACCTAAACCAATCTATACCCATGAAATCACAAACTCTAAACCGTGTTCTTGCTATCGCCGATCGTAAACACACATGGAGGAACGACAACTTCATCCCCCAACTTGAAACCAAGTTTTCTCCCCAAGTCGGGATTTGTCCACCGTGAAAGTAATGGCCTTCATCTCGTGTTCTTGCACCACCCGGTCGGAAATCGACGTGGAGGAGACACGACTTCATCCCCCACACGCCAACCCATTTTCTTCTCCCCCAATATGAGCACAATTCTCTGAATTCATAGGCTTGCGAGCGCGCCCAACTCGATCGCGCTCAGTTCACGTCCCTTTTCTTTGACCCGACTAGCTCAAGCTCGATCCTGTAACAACCAAGCCAAGCTCGATAAGCCAAAACTCGACTTGGCTAGAATTATTTACAGCCCTAGACTTCTTCATCTCCATAAATTTTCTATGGTATTGAAGCGACTAACGAAAAAACATTGTTTGTACTTTTGATTGAGTGAACAAGGATCTCTCCACAAGCAAAGCCAAATATAGCCCGTGGGTTGCATCAAGAAGCTTTAATATAATTAATTTAGTACATCGACAAGATTGACAAGCTTCGTAAAACGATCATAGTTTATTCAATTAACAAAGACGACTGTTTAATGCTTCTTGAAGAGGCACCATCAGGATTTTAAGACAATATACTTTATTTTCATGAATTATACAGTAAACAATACAAAATCATTACAAATGAGGTATTTTAGAATTATATGTTTTGATCATCTATTCAACAAAGTGTATGCTGGTAATCTTTCACACTAAAGACATCCTCCATGCCAGCTCCCCGTCTCTAACTGTGTTCTTGTAGACTCAAAACATCCTGAAAAAGGTACAAAAACATGGCAATCATTCAAACATGGTAGGGTATGCTAAATTTAATGAATCGACAATTCGTTGATTCAATTAATAAAAATCAAGGGATGATGGATGTCGAACAATTACATTAAATTCATATACGAAGCCCGCTTGGCAAGCCATTAGCTCCATCATTTGGAGCTACAAATAAAGGTTATCAATGCCTTTCTCTTCCTTCGGAAGTTCTAAGAAAACGAATTCCAGCCAAAGAAGATGCTTCCCTGCCCGCAAACATAAGTAGAAAATTTCTCAGTCCATTTAATTACTAAAAATCATAAATGGCAGAAGCACTAGAAAAATTAAGTCGACAAATTTGGCTTTAGAATCATCTCTTTGTGACTGACCACATTTTGCATATTTCTCAGCCTGTACGGAAATAAGGCAGTAAACCAAAAGTTACAGCATAAATTCCCTTCTCTTCAGAAATATTTATTACCTGATTGAATCCAACATTTGTATCAACATAATAAATGTTGATGCCAGCTACCGCAAAAGGTCACTCACTCAGCTCTCGCTCCGTCTGTTTATGCAACAATCTCTGAAATGAGTCTGTTGAATGAAGCCCAATAATAATATTAGTTATAATCAGCTTTACCTTCATATTAGGCATAAAAACCAAATTAATCCCAGAGGAAAGATAACAACCCAATAAAACCTGCATGTATCCTACACATACTGAACATAAGCAAACTTAAAAATGTTCAAAAAAATAATATAGACATCCCTGAAATTGAGTAGAATCTGAGAATAAGAAGTATTTCAAGATGAATTACATATTTATTAACCTTTGAGTTTCCTTACCCCGCGACAACTAGAATATGCCATCCATTTGGTTACAGCCACAAAGAACAAACCGATTTCAATTACTACATATACAGACAGCTAGGTACATCCAATAGCTAACATGTAACAGGAAAACATCCCCATACTCAAAAACACAAGCAGAGCAATTATTCCTAAAAAACAAACCAGATATGCCTAACATACTCCCGAAAAACATGATTCCTCATCAGCTCAGAGCATGATAGTAGATTTTATATCACACTTTGTTATTTAAACAGTTGCCAACCATCACCTTTACTTTCCCTCTAAACAAATATCATGCCGAAACAACAATGTTTGTTACAGTACCCACCTTATAAGGGGCAAAGCTAATAAGCTAAAAGAGGTTCATTGAGGAAACAGCACAAAGGTATTCACTGAAGAAACTCCAACTGCTTGTTATGCAACCACAATTTCCACAACCCCAGCTTCTCTACAACAAATGTATACATAAAAATGGAGAAAAAATTTTTTATATTTTTTCCTGCTCTAACATGTATCCTCTCTATTCAATATTCTTCAGTAATTAGTGATCATATATAACCATTCTCTATGCTGTCAGTACACAAGTTTATTCTGAAATCTAAATTATATACTTTTTTCTATAACTCTCAGCATTATCTTATCATGACAACATGCATTCTTGTTAAGCCACAATTGCCAAGGCAACTTGAAAGATAATACTATTCTAGGCCTCCATTTTGACAGTATTAAGGGTCCATTTCCTTTTGGTTCTTTTAGATCATATTTTGAAAAAAGTAAAATTGGTGGTATTACGATGTAGGATTTTGAAATAACAAAAATCCCCCTATGTTTGTTTTATTACTAACACCCCTATAATAAAAATATTAAAATTAACAAACACCCCTAACCCCACCATTAAATATGGACAACCGGCTACCATCGCCGGAGGGTGGCTAGAGTCGCCGTATCGGTGCCAACTGGCTGGATCTGGCCAGTCGTACACCGATATAGCTTTTTCCCGACCAGCTCTACGGCTCAATGGCCAATCTGCGCCGCATTTGGTGTCAACGATGGCCAAAGATATGGCTACGGCCAGTTCTTTGGCCTGTGAATCTGGCTTTTCTTTTCGCTAGATCCATCGTGGATCTGGTCGGAAAATGCTAGATCGGCCACTACCGCCAGATCAACCAGTAGTGCGCTTTTAACACCAGATTCTGGTGGTGTGGCCGAATCTGGTAATGTTGGTTTTGGGTGTTTTTGTCAATTTCTAAAACATTTTTTGGGGGGTTTAGTTAAATTAACAAATTTAGGGGTTTAAAAAAAGAATTGAATATATAGATAATATTTTAAGAATAAGAGAATAAATGTGTATTAGATAGGATAGGGCAATAAAATACTAAAAAATTCTCTACCAAACGAGCCTAAATTTTGTTGCGCCTGAGCCAAGTTTTGTAGATCCTAACAACAGCTAAGAAAGGCACAAAAAATTCCCAATTCTTCAGATGAAAAATAACAAAATAAAATCTCAACATTTTGAATAAATGATATATTAGATTAAAAATTTGAACAAGAAAAAGAGAACTATAACTTTTTAAACCAAGGAACCAACCGGATACTTCTGGCGAAAGAGATGAGATTCTCCAATGATATAAATCCTCCACCTCTTCAAATTCATTGACAAAAAATTGCATCAGAATCCTTTTCAGGTAAAAAAAATGTAATAAGTATTTAATGTAATTTTCCTTTCATACCGAAAATCTGTTGAAGGGTCTGTGCCTTGCCAACCCATTCTTCCACAGGCTCCGATTTCAGAGCTGGCAAATCCCTACCAGGACAAGCTAGCCTCCATACTGTTTTTAGAGCATCCCTGCACACAAAAGTTCAATTTTATATGTTAAAGTTATGCTCTACAAAAGCAACAGGTCAGTCTTTCCCTTTCCTTTTCTGGAGGAAACAAAATCAGTGATCTTCCCACACACAACCATTATAAGTTCAAGTTTGTAGAAGAAATAAAATAGCCAAATTTATACCTCACCCTTAATTTGGAGTAATTATGACAGGGATGATTAAGCTATAAGATGTTCTCACCCAGTTTGCACACTTTTATACAGTAAGTGTAATTGTGGGCACTTAATTTGAGTACTTTAACATGTAACTTCATCCTAAATTGTATTGCAATTTTCAACATGTAAATATAAATCCTCAAGGCATCAAAACTTTAGCAATCGGGCATAACTCTCACTATAAACAGATTTCAAGTTTCATTAATAACAAAATGAAAGGAATTAACCCACATCCACTATTATGTGCTAGCTCTAAAAACATTGAGGCGAAAATTAGTAAAGTAATAATTAAACGGAGGCCAAATATTAGTTAGTAATAAAATTAAACGGAGAAAAACTACCTGATGTTCCACACGTGATCCATCAAAGGGACTTCCACCTTTGTTGTAATGCTAAGCCTTTCCTCCTAATTGACACCAATTAATAGCGTTAAAGTCATACACATCAGTCTTTTTTTTTGATATATCGAAGAATTCAAATGCGAAATTTTAAAAACATACATATTTCATGATTAAGTGCCATGAAATCACTACCTTTATCAAACTAAGAGGTGAAATGCGCCAGCAACAATATAATACCTGTAGAGGACTAGTAGTGAAATGGAAAAGCTTCCGACTTAGTCCATTTTGAGTGCAAGGGAGAGAGGCAAAAGTCGTCCAATAGTGATCCAGATCCAAAAACAATATTGCTACAAATTTCAACTACCAAAACTTAGTGAACAGGACACCTAGATATTTCCACAATCAGCAATGTTTACAATAATCACAAGCACTTAACCCCCTAACAGTGTCATGAAGCATGATTTTTAAAAGCAATGACCAATATGATGGAAACTAAACAAATAAAAACAGGCATATGCGTCTAACTTATTTAGTTATCATTACACAAATGATACAGTGTGCATATGATTTCTAAATGTTTACCTCTTTGGTAATGTAAATGTCTTGAGATAACCTTACCATCACCGTTTGAGCAAACTCCACCAGTTGGGACATTTAGTAATCCGAAGAAAAAAAAAAAAAAAAAAATGAGAGAGAGAAAAGAAAAAAGAAAACTAATATATTGCTTCAAGCAGTCATTACTAATTGTTTCTTCTTATTAAGGATTTCATTTAGACAAAACAATTACACCATCCTAATAGTATCATAACCGAGGCAAACTTCTAAATTCAGGGAGCAAAAACCCCTAATGCAGATTTCAGAAAATCATGATGAAGAAGAATAACAAAAGTGCAGTCCCACTAATTAGCAAGTTTCCATAGTAAGAGATAATGCTCACTCAGCAGTCTGAGTACAAAATATATCCAATCAGCCAACCAAAATTATCACAGATCTAAGCCATGTCTTAACTAGCCTCTCTTTGCCACAAAATTACATCAAAAGCAAGAAACTGCAATATCAGGACTAAAAGAATCATCGTAACAATTTAGCACTCACACCAAAAACTGAGCCATTGTGCAATATTCGAGTCAACAGAAACTACCACAAGTTTCCTAACTACCGAGATTACAAGTTTGCTACGTTGGCCCTAGTCCAACACATGCGAGGTAGTTTTCTCAATTACCAAAAAAATCTACCATCATAGTATGAAAGACTACAATCCCAAATTTTGTAGACAATTCGCCGACACAAACAATACAGTACCGTCACCAAAAATGACTCCTCTAAGAAGATGATCAACAACAATATACCACACCTAACCACTGTGTCCATGTGCAATCAACTGAGAAAAGTGAGAGTCCAATGCAAGCGCTCCATTCTCCTTTGATCTCCCAAAATCCTCACTCTACGTCCCTAATATACATTTAACATAATTAAAAATTATTTAAAAAAAAAATATTCTTCTTAACTTAATGCAACACATTGAAAGAAAATACCTGAAGACGGAATTTCATCATCATAGTTAGCTAAACACAGGTTCACTAACTCTCGAAACCAGAAGTCCCTCCAATGCTCACGATTTCTCCCATCAACATCTCCGTGATGGAGTCGCCGCTCAAAGTTTCTCGATGTCATCAATTCAATCCACTCAACTGCAATTTGAAAATACCCAAAATCAATATAAACCCTAAATCCCAACTCACATATCATAATTCAATTCTACGAAACCAAGGATTTAATCTTAATTTAATGAATATAGAAAAAAAACAAAACCAACAAAAGAAACGGACGTACCCAAATAATTAAAAAATAATAAAATGAAAACGAATTTGTATATAGACCTCGTAAACTTTGTCACTAACAAAGTATAAAGTTAAGGAACTTTGTTTTTAATTTAAATAATTAATAATTAATTAATAATAGTACAACTGTACAACCGATCGATAAGATATCGCTTGAATAACAATTTACAGACGTTTTTGGAACAAAAATAACAGCAAAGACGTGTTTACAGTTTACGAGCGTGGACTGTTTGGTAAGACAGATAATGACAAATTTTTACCCATAAATACGGGTTACAGAAGGTGTGTTGTTTTATTCTTCTATCTATTTTCTAAAATATTGAAATATTGGAATTATGAAAAAAAAAAAAAAAAAAAACTTGTTCAACGTATTTATCTGAAAACAATATTTGAAATTGGAGAATAAAAAACGCCTTCGAACATTTTCACTAAACAGTATTTTTTAACATAAATTATCAATTAAATATTTTTATTATTTTATTCCTTGTGATTGTTTCACCAATCCCAAAAATGAATGTTGACAAATTAATGGTCATATAACTTGCTGAGCCCCGACAAGTGATATCTTTACCGTAGATCTTTGCAAATTTTTGATGAGATGGTATTCTTATATTTAGGGAAAGAATAAAGCCTCTTGAAGTAAAACATGAAATTTCATGGAAAGTGACTACTATGGCTCGTTGGATCCTTGCACACTTTAATGTGAAAATGAAGTGCCAAGGATAATGCACATCTAAAATATTGTTTATAAAATGTAAAATGCATTTGTAGATGCATAACAAAATCATATACTAGAGAAATGTGTAATTGTGAAAATATAATCATCAATGATAAATTTTCTTTTACAGTAGCTACTGAAATTATAAGGGATGATCTTAAGCCACACACTATCAATGAGTGTAAATAGTGACATGATTAGAAAAGGGCAATTCAATAAAGTAAAACCCCATATGACAAAATAGTCATGGGGTGTGTGTATGTATGTGCGTGCGTGTGCGTGCACGTGTGTGTGCATGTGCGTGCATGCGTGCGTGCATGCGTATATGTGTGTGTGGGTGTGTGGGTGTGTTTGTGTGTGTGTTGGGGGTGGGGGGTTTGAAAAACACAGCGGAATAATATAAAACAAAGAGCAATGAATAGTGTATTTCAATCAAAACCCATATTGATGGCTCCTTCCCTTCAAAGAAGTGATTTCTTCACAAGCCGTATCAAGTATAGACATGCACTTACTTAGCCCACATGAAAGCAAACCCGAAAAATCAAGAATAGAATGATTGCTGGATCAATATAAACTATTTATGGTGATAGAGAGAAAAAGGGGCAACTAGGGTTTATATTTTTGTTCTCTCATTCTAATGTTTAAATATCAAATAACCTTCTCTTTATATAGGCTTAGGGTTTAGTGTCTTGTGTTTGGACACACACTTAACTCCATTCCATTTAGGAATAAGTCCTAACCCTATTCCATGTAGGAATAGCCTACAATGTTATTTCATGGTGCATCTCTTTCCTCTTTTGGATCGGAGACCTAGCCATATTTCTATTTTCACTTGACTTCCTTAATTCATTAGATTCCTCATTCAATGTTGATTCTACTTCCTATTTGGGAGATTATCTCTTGGATTAGTTACTCAGGCTATAAGTAATATCTACTAGAGAAATTATATTTTTGCCCTCGAAGAAATTTGGGCGCTACAATAGTAATGCTTAAACCACATTTTTTTAATTTTAATACTAATTTAATTTTGAAGATATCCATATTCATTTCAATATTACCATTTATTCTCAATAAATACAAGTATTGATGTATGCTGGATCCAAACACATGGTAGGTGGATTCCTAGACATATTATCCTCTTTGGGCCCTAGGGCTCGTACGGTTTTGGCCTAAAAATGTGTGTTTGAGTTGTGAGAGTGTCATTGTGTTATATAAGCGACCAAGACCTTTGTTTCCTTAACCGATATGGGACTTTGGCACCAACACAGCCCTTAGGGGCTTGGGAGTGACCTAGGCAAAAAGGGAATGTCGTCTCATCACACCTACATTAAATGCATGACCACGTCTGTATTAAATGCACAGTCAAACATCTAGGCAGAAAAGACAAAACCCCATTCCTGAACTGTATGAATTTCCAGTATGTAGATCATGTCATCAGAACATTCAACCCTTAGTCAACAAGAGTTCACTATGCAGGAGGTCGCGTTGTCACGCTCGTGTCCTAAGACGGCAATTCATGTTTGCATTACATAATAGCAGCTAAAGATCGCAACTTGCAGTGCAACAGTTGTCCAAGCAGTAGGCATGGGTTTTTAAAGTCCGAACTCGAACTCCAAAAACTAGGGGGAAAATGTTGTGCAATCAATCCCTAAAGCACGAATTCACACCACGTGTTATTCTTTTATGTTAACTTTATTTGTAAGTTTGTCATTGTAGTGATATATAAGCTTACTTTTCATTTAGATTAGGGTTCTGACTTTGGATCAATACTTTGTAAGTCGTACTTGTACATAGAGTAAACATAGAAAGCGATATAAGAACAGTGAACGTAGGATTTGTATTAAGCATTCGAACCACTTAAATTTTTTTTTCTTTGTGTCATTGTTTGATTTATTATTCATATGTCGATCTAGCATCGAAGTCAAGAATTTCTTACAAACTCCTATGTAGATTTCACTACGAATCCTATATACTTCTCATTGGTGCAAATCCCAACATCAACAACATGCTTATTTATTCTCAATGTTCTAAAAACCAGACCGGACCGGTTCGACCAGTAACCGGTGGCAAATCCGGTCTGGTATATATAAAAAACCGCTATTTTGATTTAAACCGAATTGGACTGCAGTTGACAACCAGAATAGTGCCGAATCGCGGTCCAATCGCAGCTAAACGCCGCCGGATTCAGACATCTTTCGACGGAGAAAATACCCCCATTCGATGGACGGCATCTCCACGACCAAACCCATCCATTTTCAGTCGCCGTCGTCCAACCTTCGTCGATCGCTGTCCACCTAAAGTTTACGCGACGTCGGATTTCTTTTGTTGATTCCGACGAGTTCCGACGTCGATGGAACTCCCTAGCACCTACACATCAGAGTCGCCGGCACCTACACATCAAAAGCCCCAAGATTCCAGCTTTGATTGGCCGTCGATCGTCGCTACCGCCACCACTCACCAGAATCTTCGTGCAATAAGGGTGTTTTAGATAGATTTCAAACCTTAAGGGAGTATTATAGTGGTGTTTTTGATGAATTTCAAACCTTTAGAGACTAAATTTTTTTTACAAATTACGGTCCAACCGACCAATCCAACCAGTCGAATCAGAAACCAGACCCTTGAATGGGTCATTGTCCGATCCGGTTTTCAGAACATTGTTTATTCTATCCCTTATTTCATTCTTCTCAACTCGAAATTTAAAGCACTTCTTCACGTCTCATTTTTTTTTTTTTTTTTTTTGCCCCTTTTTTCCCACCTGTCACTTCTGCTTCAGATTAGCCAATCCAGAATTGATGGCTGAAATTCATCATAACTGGAGTAGTGGCAATTACTTGCTCACTGACTGCCAATTGAGTCAATTGCTCACTTTGAATTTTATATTTTCTAAACTTTCACACACAATATATGATGAATAAACTAGAAAGAAATATATTCAAATGAAATTAAAACTTTTTTATTTAGATCTTCCCGCTCAATAATTTCTTCTACATCAAATATGTTATATCTACTCCATACTATAAAGATGTTAGTTTGAGAAAGACATATGTTGGTGTCCTAATTTTTTTCTTTGTATTCTTTTACCCTTTTTAGTAATTTTGATGATTATCTAAAAGTAAATTTGTAATATAAAACTATTTTAAATTGAGGACTTATTAGATAATGTTGGGGTGTCAATAATTCACTCATTAATAATGATAATTTTGGCTGTCAACAATATGTGAAATACTTTGAGGGCTATTATAAATGTGAGGACATATTAAAATAAATAAAAGAGAAAAAGACATAAGTTTCATTTATATCAATAAACAAGATATTTCGTCAATAAAAAAAAATACTTTTTTTACACTTTTTATGAATAAACATACTTTTAAAAGAAAATGTCCTTTAATTGATAAATGTGTCCATTATTGTGAAATTAATAGTCATTTTCCTTTAATTTTTTTAAAAGTGCCTGTCATTTTATAATAACACTACTTTAGAAGCAAATAAATGGTTAATGTGTGGAAAAGATCCTAATTAAGTCACGTGTAATAACATCATAGCACAGTACAACGAAAAAGTATCAAGTAGTTCTTTTCAAGGCTGTCAAACAAGTCGACCAGTTCGCAAGCGCCGGCTCGGGCTCGACTCGTTAGGGTTTAACTCGATGATTGTCAACTCGACTCGACTCGAACTGATTTATAAACTGGGTGAGTTCGATCATAGGGGGCTCGGTTCAAGGCTCGCGAGCCTACAGTGGCTTGCATAAGTAGGGTGTTTTTGTAGTTTTAAAACCATGTGCGATTTAACGTATATTGCAGTTACTAAAATATATATAAAAAAAAAAAAAAAAAAAAACGACATTTACCCCCAAGTGCAAAATAGTAAATGACATATTACCCCCAAATCAATTTTCCCAATTCGCAAAGTCTCACAAAAACAAACCCTAAACCTAAACCAAATCTATTCACCATGAAATCACAAACTCTAAACCGTGTTCTTGCTATCGCCGATCGTAAAAACACATGGAGGAACGACAACTTCTCCCCCAAAGCTTGAAACCAAGTTTCTCTCCCCAAGCTGGGAAATTTGTCCACCGTGAAAGTAATGGCCTTCATCTCGTGTTCTTGCAGCCACCGGTCGGAAATCGACGTGGAGGAAGCACGATTCATCCCCACAGCGCCCAACCCATTTTCTCTCCCCAAATATGATCACAATGCTTCTCTGAATTCATAGGCTTGCGAGCCGGCTCAAACTCGATCGAGCTCGAGTTCGAGTCCCTTTTCTTTGACCCGACTAGCTCAAGCTCGATCCTGTAACAACCAAGCCAAGCTCGGATAAGTCAAAACTCGACTTGGCTAGAATTATTTACA